ATTGGTTGACTGGCTGTTTGCAGGAATCAAGCACATTCCAAACATTTGCGGGCAACATGAAACTATTGCGAAGAACTCAACCACTTTGGGTAATCTTGGAGAACGTCGACCTGGGAACGGCAGAATCACCTGAAGGAGACACCAACTATGGTGTGATTCAATCAGCGCTTAGTGATGCGGGATATGAAACACGTTCCTTGGCAACTGTTACTTTTCAAAGGTCTCAAATTGTTTCAAGCTATTGTAAAATCAATTGACTTTTGCCAGTGGGTATGTTATTGCAGTATTTTGAACATTAACTAGCATCAACCAATGCAAAACAGGTTTCAAATTACAACTTGAATGTTTTACAATATGGTCAGCGGTCCGTGGTCAATATTCATATGATTCACATGATTGATGCGATTCTTTGACATTGATTGACACTGACACTGACACTATTCTTCTAAGGGATGTTGTTGCTCAATGCCCAAGAATTTGGCTTGGCTCAACGACGCCAAAGGCTTTTCATCGTATGTGTGAACCGTACCAGGGCAGATGCAGAGTTGATTTGTGGTGCTCAAGCAGTCCTAGATTCGGTTGTTGGAACATATTTGCCAGCACTTCGCATTGAGTCACCGGGAGTTGAATCTTGATTAAGTTGTGGTGAATATGTGCAAGTCATTGCAGATATGCTTACAGTCTTATGACCAGTTGACATTGTGAGTCTTAAGTTTTAATTTTGCATACTTGGCCAAGGACTTTTTCCTTCTCGCCAACAGCGACAGCACAGTGGTGGCAGAATTGGAGCGTCGAGCTAAGGTAAAGTCTGATCGCGAGAAGAAGTTGGCCGACAAGGATGAGACTGAGGAGGACGACCATACTGCGGATATAGAGAAATGGAAACACCTCCATATGCAAATTGCAGAGTCCAGTGTTTTCCTCAGCATTGATTGATTCAAAACAATCATAACATAACCAACATAACATAACCCAATTCATTTAAACAGTTAATGCACAGCTGAAACAACCCAACATCTCAAGATCTATTGTTGCATGTTTCTTTTGTTTTTGAGATGATTTGTTAAACCAATGTTACTTAGGAAAGATCCAGTGGCCAATACAAATCCCAGGCACTTGCGAGCAAATCCTTGGTTTGCCTCTTTGTCACAGCGCGAGAAGGAGGCTTGGGAGATAAGTAAGTAGTTGCAGCACTGCGTGACCATTTCAATTACCTAAGATTCTACAGAAGATGTGTTTTGACTCGACTATGGTTGTTTTATAAATTGATATTTATTAATATTCAGTCCAGTGGATTTGGTATTTTGATTCATTGTGGTGGTTGCAGTATGTTTGATCTATGATTGTTGTGTTCAATGTTCAGGTGGTTTGCCTGTTCGAGCTCACCAATGCTGACCGGAAGGCTGTGGGAAAGCCACAATTCCGGTTTGCTGACCTATATCATTCAGCAAATCGAACACTGATGTCCACAGAGGAAGTGTCTTGCCGTCTTGTAGATTGCTATGATGTAATGTCAATGCATGAACTCTTATTGCCTGTGTATTGAGAGGTTGGTAAAACTGTTTGATTATTACAGCTTAGGTGGTGCCGACTGTCCTTCCAAGTGGCACAGTCTGGGATGCAAAGCATCAGCGCTTACAGCTTGGAATTGAACAGCTAGCGTTGCAAGGAGCGCAGTACTCTGGACGTGTGGCATCCAAACTATCCAACCATCAGGCTCAAGACCTTGCAGGAAACGGGCTGCTTGTCCTTTGAAATAAGAACAATTTTAGACTGTGACATGCAGCGTATGATGATATGATATGAATCATATGAATGAATGAATAACATTTTACTAAGACTATGACTATGACTATGAGTCTATGAGACTATAAGTTGGCTACTATTATATGTTCTTCATACTACTACTGGACGATATGACTTGGCAACTGTTGATGCTCAGGTTTCCGGCAACAGTGATTGCAGCTTTACAGATCGCTGTGCTTTGCTCGTTGGAATACCCTTCAGCAGAACAGTCTTTGGAGATGGATCTCAGTCATGTGAGCTCCATCATGTCACGGTATCTGTGATTGAAACAGATTGTCTAGGCTAGGACATCTCTTGAAGAGCAATTATTATGACTATGTTGTCATATGACTATTACTATAACTATAACCTATCACTATCACTATTACTTCTATCTTTGACCGCTGTTGTTTCCTGTGTCACCTGATGCTGTGATGCAGTGATGTCAGCTTCTTCCCAAGGATTCGCAATCGGCAATGATACATCTCATCTAACATTTGAAGATGTCCAATGGCCAAGCGACTTGGAAAGTCAACATGACAGAGTTAGACAACAGTGTTTGGCTTTTAGTGAGCCAAATGCGGTTGTGTTTTGCAGTTTCCCGCTTGCCATTGATGAGGAATGATGAAGTGACAATGACCTACTATTTGTGTGAGTTCGTGAGAGACGCATGACGCGTGTTTCTTTTCCCACTACGGACCATGGACCGTTTGAGTTATGTTACATTTTAGTTTTGATTTTTAATATTCTTTCTGAACTATGTGACTAGACTAATTGTTCTGTTTCGTTTAGTTTCACTTGCGTCACTTGCTTCCAATGGATCCATCTTGGCGCCGTTGTGATTTACCAACTGACATGGCTATGACAAAACAAGCCACAGTTGCAGAAATAAGCCATCGGAGTCTCCAGGCATAGTTTTGATATTTACTGTTCCAGAATCACTTCACAAAAATTCATGTTGGTTGTTGTGTTGTGTTTTTCAATCCTTAGAATTCTGGGTCAGACTCCTTTCATGTTTGATCGCCATTGTGAATTGTGATTCGCACGAGTGTTGCCAATGTAACCAAACTAAGTTAGTTGTGAATTCGACAGTCAACAATTGTTTGACTAACCATCTAATATCAACTCTTGTGTATTTGGCTTATCAAAGCGTGCGCAAGGGCAGACAATGGCTTGCGCCACTGCACCTCTGACAAATGATATGCGAGAGAAAACAAGCAGTGTCAGAAGGGAACCAATGACTCGATGGACATCGATGTCGACGATACTCTTTCGAGTCTGGCGTGCGCGCTCAGCTTCATTTCTAGTCTATGTCAATGTAAATGAATGAATTAATAATAATAGTAGTAGTGGATAGCCACATCCAACAACATATAACATGAGGCACAGTGTCACATCATATCACCTAGCAGTGGTTGTTGCTATGAACACATCATGAATGTGTAAGTCTTAAGTGCTTAAGCAAAACATAATATAGTATGCTACTGAAAACACACGCATACAACATACATACCAATGTCGTACCATACTACCGTATTTCTACAAAGCATCGTACCCACATGTCGTACCATGCCATCGTACCTGCACCGAGCATTGTACTCACATGTCACACGTCGTACCATACCATCGTACCTGTACCCAGCATCGTACCCACATGTCGTACCATACCATCGTACCTGTACCCAGCATCGTACCCACATGTCGTACCATACCATCGTACCTACAGTCATATATACAGATTCACACCTACTTTGAACCAATATAATATATATATATATGGATATAGCGATCGTTATGTCATTGGATTAGATCTTAGATGGAGGACTTGTTGGAACTTCAAATGGAAAATCATTTCTTATTCAAAGGCTAATTTTGCATTGTTCTTGGAAGAGTCTGAAGATAATTTGTGTTGCGCGTGCGCCAGGTTCAGTTGGAAATACCCCAGGCCAAGGTTGGCCTGGTGGTTGGCAAAGGCGTGGCTGATGTTGCGTTTTTGCGTGTGAGTTGCAGTTGATCATAGCCCTAGATCACACAGAAACATCATAGTAGATCATAGTAGTTAAATATGGCATCGCTGCGTAGGTGGAGCTGTGCTGAATGCCATCAAGTCGTATTCCAAAGCTGAGCCGGGCATCCCAGAGAAGCCACAGCAAGGATTGGCTTGGAATGTTTGGCATCGTTTGCGAGCGCGCAACAATGTGCCAAGGGGTCGGGTCTTGTAGTAATGCTGACCGACATCGCCATGTGGGAAGAGGGAAGCTCAACGTTTAAAGAGGCTGTGAACCAGTGTGAGGACTGTTATCAGATGTCACCAGTCTAATCCATACACGTTTGTGCACAGACCCGACACAAGACGCATGACACATGGCCAGTGGTGACTGGCCGTGCTGTATTGCAGCGGCCATTGACCAAAACCAATGCAAGGAGTAGTATGAAAATGAGATGGCTGGTTATCCGACAAGCCGGCTAGGACCATTCCCTGATTCTGACAAATAAAGAATCACAAGCACCTGGAACTTCTTGTTGACTACTTTTGAGACTTTTGAGAACTTCGTCGCGCACCGCCAGACTGTACCCAACATGCGCTCCACAACCCCACTCTACCCCCAATGAATTTGATGCCTGTTATATACGCAAGACCGCACCTCGGTTGTGAGGCACCTGTTTCAGCGTTGAAACCTCTCTGACAAAGCCGAGCAAGTCTTTCTGTTTTGGTGAGGTGCTTCATCGAGCAGCGCACGCCCGACCAGGACTGGCCTTAGCCTGCACATGCCCTAAATGGTCCAGCTTTGGGTGTCCGAGACCAGAATTTATGATGCTCAACATTCAAGGCTTGCAGAGGCCCTACCTATATGATTTTATGTGAGCCTATGTGGTCCACATGTCACGTGTTTCTGCATCAGAACACCCTCAATTCACCGTGTTTTGGGGTTTTGTTTGCTGAGCTGTGGTGGCTCAAGCCCCTTGCCTGAGCGCTGAATTGGGAAGGCCGGGGGTTGAAATGCTTTGAATGAATAGTGAGTGGGCAAATGGCCAACCCCCCAAGCATTTGAAGGTGTGTGGTTGGTGGGTCCGCACCAGGATGCATGTTTGCTGCCGAGAAAAGTGGCCACAGTGATTGCCGGTTGGTCCTATATATGGTCCTGTTACGCACTTGCATCAGTGGTGTAATCCCTCACCACACCTGCCGTGACCCCTCGACCGTGCCAGGGGCTATGCTCGTGTCCGGCGGCTGCCAGACCTATGATGTCTCGGCCGTGCTGGGCCGCGGCTCCTTCGGAGTCTTGGAAGAACAAAGATTAATTCCCTTTGATCATCCTTGATCAATCTAGTTACTTCAACTTCTTAACTTTTGCGACCATGTTTTTCTACTTTCTCCAGATCTTTTGAGGTTTCGGGATCTGAACCACGCTTCTTTGTGACACATGCATTGTTGCAACACGCAGGCTGGTATGCATAAGGTTACGACCTAGGCTTTCGACCTTGAGACATGCAAGTGTGGCGGCCACATTCTACCGACTCACAAGAGAGCTTGCCTACAGATACTGCACTACTTTTGTGTTATTTCTGCATATGAAATGGTCACTGAAGTCTCTCTCTCTATTTTTTCTTTAGCATCGGTCCTGAAACATAAGCAAGAAAAAGCTTGCTTTTTTGGACAGCTGAGGAACAATCTACCTTGGAGAGGAGACATGCGTTTTTACGAACTTCTTTTTGATTCTCAAAAGGGCTGCGTCAGGGTGAAAAGTGTCTATGATCTACACCGCAAAACTCTACTCCCTCCTTCTCGGTAGGGTGAACGTTATTTTTCCTATTTTAGCCCACTCTGCCGCTACTCTAAGGAACGGTGTTCCTTGAGGTTCTTCATCTTGAATTTACCTCATCTAGCATGTATTGAATTTGGGCTCCCTCGGCATCAACGTTTGCTTGAACAAATTGTCCTCGGTATTATGTTATGTCGACAAAATTGTCCTCTTGTAGCTCTCAAATGCTCTAAGCTCCTTCTTGCTAAGTAATTTGCTGCATTTGCCTCAGAGACCATGTCATAGGGAACTGTCATAGGCTGTCTATGCATTGATTCAGTTCTTCATCCTCCACAAAGCCTCCAGTGAGAATCAATCCACAATGAATTCTCATCGTATAGCTTGTTAGCATGTCGACTTGATGGTCATCTTCCTCTCTCCTGTCGAACATGTATTCTACCTCTATCACTCTCACTTCAAATTCATTTACTTTGCCTGTGACGAATCTTTTTTGTGCTTCTATTCTTTCCTTCACATAGTTCTAAAAGATCCACATTGCTCAGGCCATTGCTGCAAAACCGAGGATGATGCTCATGGCGATCGTGATTTTCCAGTTCCTATTGGAATCTTCCACTTCCAACGTGCACTGGTCAACTCCTTTTATGAGAATAGTAGCTTCTGCAACCATTGGCTGCAAGCCCTCAAAGGTCATGATTCTGACAATCATCTTGGCAATTTTGTTGACCTTGCCTGCAAAGTTCCTTTTTCTCTTCATATGCCTTTCTCTCAAGCCCACCAACTCTTGTTTGCTCTTCACTGTGCCAGTAACCAATAAGGTTCATCAGAAGTCTGATTCTCTGGCCTCCAAGTGGTTTGGTAGCATCAGCTGTCATGTTGGTACTTGCACCATAGTGAAGTCTTTGCGGTTCTGAATCCACAGTAAATGTCTCACTTTACCAACTCCTGTCTTTGTCACAAGTTGGCGCGCACTCGAAGAATCTGTGAAGATGTAATGGCCCACCTTTGTCCCGAGCACAAACCCAAGAACTGAACGAATATATATATATATGCCATCTGAAGCTGAGGAGACTATTATTGCATGCAACTCTGCCTCACATGAAGATAAGCTAACGATCTTCTGGCTTCGACAATGGCCAACTGTTCAGTGCATGGAATCCTCCTGATGTTGATCTTCTTTGGCTTTTGTTTCTGCTCCAGTCTGAGTCTGAGAATGTCTTTAGACACCAATAGTGCACATCTTTCTTCACATAGCCTTCTCCTGCTTGTGGAAATTCAACCACTAGACAATAGTCCATCGTCTTCTTCAAGTATCCTAGGAATTTCTTCAGGTGGTGAAATGACACAGCTGTTGAATTTGTCATTCTTGAAGCCAATTCCTTGATAGTACATGCCATGTCATACTCATACCTTTCTTGACAAAGGTAAATACCTGAACCGACAATGCTGCTGAATAAGCTGTTTTTCTCTTGATCACTCAGGATCTCTGACTTGTCCTCCAGTTGAATTGAGTTGTCTGAAGGTAGTTGTTGGAGTTTGATCTTTCCAACCTGCTCCTCATATGACCTCAGCATCTGCTGGATGTAGTTACCTGGTTGGAGCCATAGTCCGTCTTTGTCCAGTTTGTACATTCTCCTCAGGAAGTTGAATTCGTCACCAATCTTCTCGATCTTGCTCACGCTGGTGTCAAACCTGTCTTTAATCTTTGGAAGAACGATTTCATTGATGTACTTTGAACAACCTGTGAAAATCAGGTCATTTGCATGAATCAAACTGATGCTCTTCTCATTTCTCAAGGCATGGACATTCAGCACTGAACTTGTAATTGAGTTCCTCGGTGAGGTACCCTAATGGAACTTGCAAGAAAGGGTCCTTCACATCTAGGCAACTGCGAGAATGCTCCTTCTCCCTCTCTTGCTTCTTTTTCTTCTTCTTCTTCTTCTTCACTGACTCCCTGCAAGAAGATTGTAAGTAGACGCTTCAGTACATGACCTGAAGTCGCTGGTGAGAAAATGTCATCTCTCTTTCCTTCAGCGAAAGCAAACTCACGTGCAACTAATCTTGTTCTTTTCCATCTCTTGCTTGTTATTGTTCGATCCTCATGATGGTAAGGCTTCTTTCTCCAATCATACACATTGCGTGTAGTCAGGACACTGATACCTTTTGTACTTCTGGCTTTTCTAGCACTTGCATCTTCTCAAGTCTTTTCTCGTCAACCTCATCAGCCACACGATCTATCGATTCTTCTGGGCTTTCTTCTTGTTTGTGTTCTCCATCACGCCGCAAGCATTCAGGTCCATTTAGTCCTCCTTCTTCTTCTTCTCCCTTTTCATCTCCTTCTTCTTCCCAATTCTCTTCATCAACTTCCTCTGCAACTGGAGATACTCTAGAGGCATTACACATAGAACCCGGAAATTGTGTGGATATTTTTTCTACTTCTATGTTTGTTAAAAAGTGTGACGGTAATAAACTTGGAAGTAAACCTATGCTGAAGCATGACCAGATTAGGATGACCATGACGCGCTTCCATGTCCCTGTGTTGAGGCTACGTTGTTTTTTTTTGCAATAATGTACCTCCTATAATGCTGGTTATGCGTTGCTGGTCACGAGGATTTTTCAGCATCGTGGGTGTCCGTTTTTTGGCTTGTTTGGGTTCTTGCAGAAATAGTCCAAAAATGTACCTCCAAAGCGCTCTCCCCCATGGCCCTCGAGGCGTAAGACGTTTTTCCCCGAAACAAAGAAAGGCCCCCCTAGCAGAGCTATGAACTGATTACGATGTGATGATTGACTGACGATGATTCCACCTTGACCCGCCCCTAACACGCCCTACACCGCAAGCGGTGTGGGCGGATTTGAATGTATGTAATATAAACAACATTTTTAGCTAATGTATACAAGCAACACTTCTGTATGTTACCAGAAAATATGTTACCAGTAAAGCCCTGTCTAATAAACATGGAAGATATCCACTGGTGAAGCCAGGACCACGAAAAAACTGAATTACGCAGAAGTGCGTCGCACTTCTTGAAACTTCTACATTTAATATATCCAGTTTTTTTACCCTACCATTCCCTAGGGTGGCCAACCATGACGCACTTCCATGTTCCCCATTGCCTCCCCTGGCCCTGGTTCTATGTTAAACGCCGGGAGTGTAATTCTTCATCGACATGATAGAGGTCTTCCCCGGCCTAAGTTTCTTCCTTGGACTCTCTTCCTCCGGCAGTTCAAATGCCTCGCTTGGTCTCGAAGGCGCAGATGGTAATCTCGATGAAATGAAATAGGAGCGACCTTTTGATGGCATTGGCGTGGATGGGAATGCTTCCATCTCCCCGAGAGTTTTCTCATTTGCAAAGAGAACTTTCTGCTTCTTATTTGGGGTTTCCTCTCCACTTGGCTTTCTCAATTCCCTTCCATCTCTTTTCACTGCTTCACCAGGAAGTTCCGGCGGTGCGGGAACTGGGGTTGGCTCTGGTAGAAGTGGTTGCTCTCGTTCTGAATCACTTCCTCCTTCAAGAGGTTTTGCCATGACAACTTCAGCATCTTCATCTCTGAACTTCAACATCACATGGTTTCGAGGAATGTTTGTTCGTCCTACTGGCAATGCTTCTGCTCTTCTCTTGGTGGCAATAGTTCTGCCTCCAAAGTTCGTTTGATATTCCCATGAGTAGGCATTGAAGCTTTTGTAGATTGCCCAGTACTTGGACCAATCTTGATCAATTCTGATGCACTTGCTCAGCACTACTTGCATCATATTCAGCTAAAAGTCCTTTGTAACTCTTGCCGTAGACGAGCTCATACGGAGTGGCACCCTTGACGGGTTGAAATCGATTCAACACCCAACTGGCATGCCTGGCTGCCCAAGTCTAAAGTGCATGAACTGATCCTATCTTGATACCAAGCTTTGCTTGCAAACTTTCAATGAAACTGCCTGCAAGCTTCCTCACTCTGTCGACTGTGTTTTCTGACAGAAATGAGTGATCTCCCAGCTTTGAAGGATTCAATCTGGTCGTAAGACCTAGACCGTGACGGGCATTGATCAGCATCTTTAAGATTTGTCTTGTTGTGGGTTCAGTGAGGTGATTGCTGAATACCCCAACGCCTGACTGAGACTCATCAATTCTTGCACAATGAGACGAAATTGATTCTTGCTTCTCAGTGGTACAACATGGATGAACCCAGTCTGGCTATCTATTGCAACTAGGCAACATGCTGCTCTAGCTGACTTAGTTTCTAAATCTCGTGCTCTGGTCTAGTCTAGCAAAAGTCAAAGCTCCCCTCGGGGATGCTTCCTCTCTTGGTTCCATCTGCCCTCTCATGGCGATCTGGACGTGCTCGATGCTCAACAAAATTTTCCGTCTCCATGATTGATCTGCCATGTTCAAAGGGAATGAATCAAGCTACATCAGCTCCACTGTCGATAATGATGAACACATCATCTCTCTCTTCTCCAAGTCTTCTCGCCTTGGGTTTCTCATTCTGCTCAACCTCCTCAAAGCTGTCCTCGAAAAGGTTTTCTCCTCCTTTCCATGGTTCATCATCGTCATCTCCAATGTGGAAGTGAATAACTCGAATTCTATGAGATTCTGAATCATCATGCCTCTCTCGTAGGTCGAAGATGGTTGGTTCATTGTTCTCGACCCTTCTGACAACTGGTTTGGTCTCCGCTGAACTACTCTGTTGAGTCACCGTGGCTTGTTGTTGAGCAGCTGTATGTGTAGTTACTGAACCTCCTCCTGAAGATGAGTGGGCTGGGTCACTTGCAACCTGCCGAATATTGTTTCCCCAACAGCCTCGCGCAAGATGTCCAGGCTTCCCGCAAGTGTAACACTTTGCCACACCTTTTCCTTTCTGGTCTTTGCCCTTGCCTTTGCCCTTGTAATCACCTTCCTTTCCCTTCTGCTGTTCTACTTTCCTTTCTTTCCTTTTCTTTTTGCGTCTTTACCTTTGCCCTTCTGGTACTCATTCTTACCTTTCTTGCCCTTTCCTGTGGCATCCTGAACTCTATCAACTTCCATAGGCATGGGTCCTTGATAGTCTGTACTGCTACTTGCAACCATTGAAGTAGCCCACTTCTGTTGAGAACGGTCCCATTGCAACACTTGTTCTCTCAAATTTGAGTATTGAACATTAACATTGTCGCCAATCGTCAAATTCAAATAGGATTTGAGCTGTCCACCCACACAAATGCAGGTTTCAGCTCTTCTTGAATTGCTGTTCCTGACGTGACCGTCTCCTCAAATACCTCTTCCAGCTTGAGAAGTTGAGGTTGTAGAGCGCTGTTCATAGAAAATGCTGGCCATGTAGTGGCTGCTCCCAAATGCGCTAATCCTCTAGCCTTTGAAGTAGGTTTCAAAGCTCTGTATCCATTGGAGTCCTCCACAGCTTTGACCAACTGTAGTGCTCTGCCCCTCATCAATGAAGCTAGCAATCCATACAGCTTGATGCATCTGGTCTTCTCTTCTTTTTCTGCCAAATCCATATCGAAGCTGTCATTTGGCTTGTCATGAATCTCTTTCAAGTCCTTCATGTAAGCCTCATCCACTGAACTGGGATACTTCCCAAATACCCATGACCACTCTCTGAACGCTTTGATCTCTTCCTCTTGCGACTTATGTTCAATTCAGCAAGGCTTTGCGATCAGCTTTGACCAATCTGTTGTGTTCGTCTTCTTGTCTTCAACTGCTTTCTTCACTGCCTCTGCTGCTGTTGCTGCTGCTTGCGTATTTCTTGCAACTTGTTCCAGGATTTCTCTCATTATATATATCCGTTGTCCCAAATCAGTATTGCCCAACTCACACAATGTACGGTGCACAGAGTGCAGTTCGCAGCAGTTTGTCAACAGGTAAGCATTTTGGGCTCAAAGGCCCCAAATCTATGGCTCAAACGCTCGCGGGATCCCAGTGACCTGGGAGCTTTTCTCTGGAGCTCAAAGGGGGCTTCCCTCATGCTCCGCTACCATAAGAACTTGGTCTTGATTCTCAAAAGGGCTGCGTCAGGGCGAAAAATGTCTATTAACTACACTGCGAGCTCTACTCTGTTTGTGATCTATTGAAAAACGGTCCATGATCCGTGCTTTGTTGTTCGAGAAGGAGTTGCCTTCAAGAAGACGTGTGGCTATGAAGGCCGTTCATTGCAGGCCGGCAGAGAGCGATGGAATCGCATTCAGGTTTGCTTCGATCACACTTGTATGTCCGTGTGATTTCACACACTTTTGGTTGGGAATCGGTCAAGTTTTTGGCCCAGTGAGCCCGGAATTCACCGTCCCTATGCTCAGGCGCAAAAATGCGGTGCGAGAGGCCGAGTCAGCTTGTGTGGATGGTCCGAACATGCGCCACTGAGTGAGCAGCGCGCACGGAGCAAGAGTGGTTCCAAGAATATTTCTCCTATCTGCACATGCTCCCCATCATATGGTTTCTCCTAATTATTTTTCCTCCAAAAGGATCTCATGCCCCATGTGCATGAGCCCTGTTGGTATTTATAGTTTGATTGTGAGTGGTGGGACTGCGAAGCTGACCGAGCAAGGCCGAAGCTGAAGCTGAGCTGCTCATGGCTTGGCATCACCCACACGTGGTGCGCTACTGGACTCAAGCATCGGAGTGCAGACAGTTATGCATTACCCTTGTTACTGCCAGCGATGCACTTGTTACTAGTAGCTTCTTGTTACTACTAGTAATGCCCTTGTTACTGCCAGCGATGCACTTGTTACTAGCCATGCTGGAATCCATGGAACCAGGGTGAAATAGTTTAGCGTTGCGCAACACAGCCGCCCAGGCTGCCACGAGTATTTCTACGAAGGACCGGAAGGCGCTGGAACCTTTCCATGATCATAGGTTGTCCGGTTAGGAGAACACTTGCAGTTGGGCATGATAGGAGAACATTCTTTGGCAAGTGACACACTTTGTAGCCAAAAAACTCTGGGTGCCAGTGCCAGTCATCCCTTTTGCCAATCCACCGTCGCCATCCACGTGGAAGACCTTGTGCCCTAAGGTGATGCAGATCGCAAGCTGCTCCTTGGCTTATCCAGCCTCCGTGATAATGCAGCGTTTACCAAAAGCATCTTTGGATCTCTATCCGTGCATTCGGCCTTTGATTCCTCACTTCAAGCAGCAAGCAACTGTCGAGACGAATTATGGTCAAATGAGGTGGCTGGTGCTCGACCTCATGGATGGTGGTGCCTTGTCTTTATCATGGCCTTACAGCACAACCTTTGCAACGAGGTCTTCTTAACCTTAGCTTGTCCTCAAAGCTAGTGAGCCAGGACAATCAAATCGTGCAAAAACACTAGTGCCCCACTGCTTGGTACGGCGTGCATCCATTTGGAACTTGTACCAAAACTAATTGTACACACAAGTATATGTATTGTGTGTATATCTATCTATATCCATATCTCTATACAGAAAGAAAAGGATATGGACATTCAGAAGTGGGTGTTTGTGAAATATCCATGAAGCGTAAGGCTTTGCCTACACAATGTGCACCAAAGGTGCTCCACCCGAAACGAACGGATGGAAGCTGAGGTGACCTGAACCGCCTCTATGAGCAGCGGCGGCGTGCGCTGCAAGGCCCTTGGGAGGCGTCCTTCGTTCGCTTTGCACTTTGGCCGCAGGGACCATAGGAACGGTGAAGGGCCAATCGTCGTGGAGGTCAATTTGTGGTAGCAGTGCCTAAGGGGCCATGCGTTTATTTACTCAAATTGTGAAAAAGCTCCTAGTAGCTTGTTGTTCCTAGTAGTATGGCCAGGAGCCCCTAGTAGCGTCCTTGCTCCTAGTAGCGATGCCCGGAGCCCCTAGTAGCGTCCTTGTTCCTAGTAGCGTCCTTGCTCCTGGTAGCGACGCCAGGAGCACCTAGTAGCGTCCTTGCTCCTAGTAGCGATGCCAGGAGCCCCTAGTAGCGTCCTTGTTCCTAGTAGTATATGGCCAGGAGCAGAAGAAGTGCACCACCAAACGGTAACCCTAAAATGCAGGTCCAGTTTCACACATGCATGATAGGACTGTGTCCCTCATGTGCAAGGGAATAACCTGAAAACCAAAGGGTTCAGGTCATACAGACTTTTCATGTGGACTTTGGCTCAAGGCCAACAGCGGGAAAAGGGCGTGTGGGCGTTCGATCTCGCGTTTTTGTGGTTATCAGCCGTAGGAACCGACTGAGTTGATCGGCGACGCCCTCTGGCGCTGCGTACCCGCACCGGGAGGCGGGAGGCGAGGGTACAGCCAAAAGCTGAGACATTTGCAAAAGGGGATTGCGCAAGGGCTTTATTCGAACAGATATCCTTTTGTTCTCCCTGGCGGACACGCCTACGCTGCGAGTTGGGGATTTACAGTTGTTGAGTCTGTTCTTCAAGGTGGACGGGAGTGGGGAGAGACTGAGTCCGAAGAGGAGGGAGCAGGATCTTCGTCCGTTCTTGAACCGCCTGCCCAGAAGGCGAAGCCGGCGCCACCGATTGTTCCAGTTTTTACAACACAGGTGATTTCGGCGCCATCGAAGGCAACAGTTGAGACATCACAGGTTGTTTCATTGCCGGTGCAAGCGAAGCCGAAGGTGAGACTTGCGACAACTTCAAAAGGAGTTCCGCAGAGCAGGGCTACAGATCTTAGAGACGAGCGTGAGGTTACAGATCTTCAGTCGAAGGCGGCGTCATCAGCGAACTTGGAACCGATCCGAGAACCGATTCGTCCGACTGAGGTGATTCGCCCGACTTCAGCTCCAAAGGCCATTGCGAAAGTTTTGCCAAAGCCGCCGCCGAAGGATCCGCCTATCGTAGCTCCAGCATCGACGACTTCATCGAAGTCGGTGCCTCCGAAGGCGGCGCCAGAGCAATTGTTGAGGCCGAATCCATTCTTGCTCCCGGACGGAGTTCTTGCCTACGAAAGGTCGGGCGAAAGCTTTGAGGAGTTGAGATCGTATCGGAACTTCAACGGATTGTTGCCGGAAAGTGGTGTTGAGCGCAAGTTTATTCTTTTCCTCGATTACCACCAAGTGCTTATTGACAGGGGTGTATCCGAGTCAGCATCGTGGTCGCACAAGATCCCAGGAGACAACGTGAGGTTCTTGAGACGTGTGAAAGAGTCAGCAGAGCATGCTTGGGGCAACAGGGATTCATTGTTGATTTTTGTACTGTGCCACATTGCATGAGACATTTTCAAGGAATTTGGAGGGACTCTTGAGAGCTTGCAACGGTACAAGGGAGATCATTGAAGAGAACCTGATTCAAGCATTGTTCGTGACTCGCGAGAGGGAAGGGGTGACAGGGAAATTGGCGACAGCCAGAAAGATTCCCAGAGGCTTTTCGATCCCGATCTGCATTGTGGACGACAACGTCCGTGTGATTGCAGAGTTTGCAGGAGCCCAGGAGCATCTTAATCCGACCATCCATTGCGTGCACATCAAGCTGAGAAGGAAGCCATCGGCCGAAGGAGCTGAGGTGGTTAGGCCCTTTTTGGCAGGCTGCAGTGAAGATTTGGAGAAGCTGTTCCGTCACTATCAACGATGATTCCGACAGGAGAAATCGTGCCGGCGTCTCAGGGTTTTGCCGTAGCAGCAGGTACCCCGATTGCAGATATTTCGTCTAGTACTGATCCCATGGAAGAAGACCAACAAAGATCCAGTTTTGTTCAGGTGCAAAACCAAACACTGAACCGGTTGAGTGTCACAGCGGACCCAATCATTGTTGCCGAAGCTCACCAAGAGATTGCCAGGGTTAGATCAGAAGCTCAAAGGGTAGCTCTTCTTGCCGATAGTGCAGTCCGGGAGGCAAACCAAAGGGTTGCAATGGTCCAAGGGAATTCGCAGGCACAAGTGGCAGATGTTCAAAGAACAGCTCAAGAGAGGGTAGAGTTGGTAGGCCATCAAGCCAATGTTGCAGTAGGTCAAATCCAAAATGAAGCACTAGCTCAGGTCCAAATCGTCCAGTCCCAAATCCAGCAAATGGAAGAAGCTTTGAGGTTGGCTAGGCAAGAGAACCGTCAGATGAAGGCTTTTGTCGAGCAAGCCAATAGGAAGCAAAGGGAGCATGCTGAGATCGTAGAAAGTCTGCATAAGGAGCGCCAATTGCAAACTGTTGCAATGACGTCTAGGATCAATCAGCTTGAGGACACAATAGCCCTGCAGTCTAGGACCAGTCAACAGGCGATGGACGCCAACCAAACACCAACCGGGTCAGAGTCCTTCCGTGGTTTACAGGTCCCACAGTCATTCGCTCCACTCAGTCATGAGCTCAATGGCGCGGATGTTCGTGCATTGTCCGCCAAGCCTTCAGGAACTTCGAGTGCCAGTCACATGGACTCCGAGATGCTTCAACGCACCGGAGCTCCTCAAGCAGGTCTGAAAGCTGTTCCAGAGCGTGATAAGCTAATGATGCTGTCAGGAGATGAGTTCGTTAAGGAACTTTTTGGAGAGAAGAGTCTTGATCCAAGTCCAGTAGGTAGAATGCATAGTCAATCACCTCCTCCAATGACGTTGCATGCACAGTCATCGCCAACTAGCGCATTAGAAACGCAAGTTGCACTCATGTCATCTCAGTTGAACGTTTTGGCAAACGCAGTGCAAGGCATTGTGAAACATGCTTCATCAGGTAGGGCAGACAAGCCTCGTAGCTCCGGAAAGCCACCATCTTCTCCAGGTCCTTCGTCTTCATCATCGAGCAACTTGTCAGGGAAAAACTCAAAGGACAAGGAGCCAGGCAAAGGTGGGTCGGACGGTGGGGATTCTTCACCGGGTGGATCTCCTAGTGGTAGTGGGGCATCATCTCCATCACGTTCCCCAATAGACAAAGAGGGAATCGATGCATACGCCTTGGAGAAGAAGCTCACGAGGGTCAAAGCATATGAGTCCTTGAAACTACCAACTCTCCCAAAGAACGCTTCAGAAGCTTGGACATTCAAGAATGGTATGTTCAATGTGATTTGCAAGTTAGCCAAAGCGGATGAAGCACCGGCCTTCAAATGGGTCAGCCGTTGTGCAAAGCCAGATGCAGATCTTTCCGATTCGTCGCCGTATCCTGTGTTGGACCGTGTCTTGGGAAGCAAGCTTCTTGAAATGTCGAAGAACACGAGGTTTGCCATGCAGTTCCAAACCATGCAGGAAGAGGCACAGAAACACGGACGTCAGCCAAAGGGTCGCAAATAGCTTTGGGTTGCGTTTGAGAAGTTCAAAATGGAAAAGGACAAAGGGGTTTCTTTGACACAAAGTCGTCTTCTGGGTTTGAAAGTGCAGGGTAATGACATCCAAGCTCTTGAGAACTTCAGGAACAAGTTTGACTATGTCTGGCATGCCTTAGGGGTAGAAGAGAGACCTTCAAGTTCAGCAATCCGTAGTTTGTTTTTCGAACAGTTGAAGAACCATCCAAGCATGATGTTGACCATTGACAAGTTTAGGAATGCGTCATCAGGTTCATCCAAAAGGACCTATCAATGGCTGTACGACAAGTTGATTGAGGCGATAGAGATCCATCAGTTGGAAGAACTCTTCAAACTTGGAGAAGTCTTTGTCGCAGTTCGCAAAGGTAGCAGCAAATCCATCGAAACCAGAAAAGGCTGACAAACCGGACAAATCCAAAAAGGAGAAACCGGAAAAGCCAAACAAAGAGAAAAAGGAAGAATCGACTGTGAAGGACAAGAACAAAAACTAGCAAGACAAGCCCAAAAAGGAAGATCCAGAAATCGATGCCTCCGCAGCTCCCGGAACCGCAAAAGGTAAAGGTAAGAGTTCGAAGGGGCAGGGATCGGGGTCTGCCAAGGGTACCAAGACAGATGACAAGCCCGATCGTTCCAAGAAACCATGTATGTATTTTGCATACAATGCTTGTTCGAAAGGAAGCAATTGTCCATATTTGCACGACTCCAAGAATTTGTACCAAGGTCCAAAGCCGTAAGCTTTGAAGGACAAACAGGCAAATGCAGGTGCCGCTCATGTTAATGCAGGTGCAGGTACCGTGCTGGCAGGGGTTCTCTCGGCAAACACGATCTCCGGATCGAAAGCTTCCGAGGTGAGTTGCGATCATGCACCATCTCAAGGGGGCGATGCAGAAAGTAGGATCCGTAAAGCCAAGAAGCTTTGTAAGTCCATGATCAAATCAGGTTCCAAGTCATGTGTTCCAAGGGTTGGCATGTTCGAAAAGACGTTCAAGGTATTTGCAGCCATGCTAGCACGTACCAATCCGATTGAGCCGCGTTTCACTCAGGACTTTCTTCTTGACACGGGGGCGGGCAGGAACCTGATCTCGTTCAAAGGGATGCCAGACATGATGAAGGAGCACGTCACTGTGGCACCAGACAAAGTTCGCTTTGCCACTGGTGGTGGTCCCAGGCCGGGGTTGAAAGCGATCAATCTGCAAGGTAGCTCATCAGGTAACAATACATTCTATATGCCTTGAAGGATTGCCCAGCCGCTTTGAGCGTAGGGATTCAAGTCAATGAGCATCGCCGACCGTTTGTGTGGATGCCAGATCAACTGCCGTTCATGGTCAAAGCCGATCGTGTAGGTGAAATGGTCACGCATGTTCCAGAGTCAGCCAAGATCTATGCAGACAGAGTGGATCAGAATGTTCCAATCCTTGCTGAGACGATTCAGGTGCATGCCATGCCTTTCAGTGAA